ATGATGATGATGATGATGATGATGATGATGATGATGATGATGATGATAGCTGTGATTTTCTCGGCTCTTTTGATAGAACAGGAATGATGATTATTGAGCTAGATGGGTCACTTCCTGCTTCCTGCTCTGTTTTTCAGAAGTGTGGAGGAAGTGGATGACCCCGCGATGTCCATTCTTGCACATTCTAACATGCTTTACAGAACTGATGGCCATGATTATTACAGCTAACTCAATGCAATGGCTCAGGCAGTTGCAGCAGGAGATGCATCAAGGAGTTCATCAAGGCATGTCTGGTCTTCGTAGCTTTATGTGCTGGTTCCTCTCAGCTGGCTAAGAAGAAAGGTATGAGATAAGTACTGAATCTCTCTGTTTCTTGAGTGTGTTCTTCTTCAGCACCCTACTCACTCCTCACTAGCCTCACTAGGGCTCCTTGTTCATCACTCCTCTGCCCACGCCTCTGATCCCTCCACATCGATCTTCAGTGCATGCAGAGGCCAATCTCGCTCAGGTGGGCCGAGCTCGGTCAGGGAATCCAACGCCACCTGGGCGGCCGCCCGGTCACAGGTCGCTGGGAGGGCAGAATCACCAGCCCTGCGAGGTCAATCGAAAGATGAGACGGAGGTATATAGCTGCAGGATGCTGAAGGTACATTCAACTCATGAATTTCATGAGATCATGAGAATGATCCAGCAATGGTTGCAGTGCTTCACTGCCTGTGGGGATGACACACAAACAAAGCCAAGCTCGGCAGACTCTGCTGGAAGAACCAGGAGTGGTGAAAAAAAACGTGACTCTTCCACCAAGCAGCGCTCTGCACATCCCCAGCGGCATCCTCAAAGACCTCCACTGTTTGGGGCGCCCATGGGCGAACAACACGAGCCAATGGATTCTCCACCAAAAAGTGCCCGAAAACATGTTAAGACAGGACACCCCTTCAGCTCTCTGGTTTTGGGCAGAAATCCCATGAACATCAAATAACATACCACTCCAAACTCTAGAATCTAGAAAGTCTCATCTGTCAAAATCCAGCTACTAAAGATCTGCTGAACTTTGAACCTCCGAAGCCTCTGGAGGGACCTGCACTCCCCCAAACTAACACCACCTGGCGTTAGTTTTGTAAGACTCGTCCCGAGTGTTGCTTTGCCATGCCACCCGAACCGCTGGTCACCCCATCCTCTCAGACTGGTCACCCGTCCGCCCCCGCCTGGCACCTCGCGCTATGCGCGCTGCAGTGCACGGAGGCCCGGACACCGTGGGCACCGGCGGCGGCCTCCACGGGAGGACCCGGGAGTTTGTCCGAAGGGGGTCGGCGTGCGGACGCCGCTGCGGACGCCGCTGCGGTCGCAATGCTCACAGAGCGGGGTTTTGGGCCGTGTTTCTGACGACATGAAGTCAGCTGTGTATTGGACGGATGGAAAGGATCCTGGAACTCCTTCAGATCATGAATTCCACATAGTTCCACTCCTTCCAGAGTTGAGCACTTTCACATACTTTCACCTTCACCATCCCTATGCGAAGCTTTAGGGGGTGCTCCCTCCCCCACCCGGCACCTGCACCACCCGGACGTGCTGCTCCAGGCTGTTGCGCAGCACCGCCGCACGCAGCAGCCGGGCGCTGTGCTCATTGGGCTCCAGTGACGTCACTGAGAAGCCCTGACCGGGGCACAGGGGGAAGTGAAGGACCTCAATTGGGGGTTAATAAATAGACTCTTAAGCTAAGGTAGACTCTACCTGTGCTAATCTCTCTCTCTCTCTTCAATGCAAACAATTGACGGATGGAGTTGGATTTCCCAGATTGAAACATTTAGACGGTATTGGTCCATTTCTATCCATTTCTTCAATTGGGGCCTTCTTGGGTTCACGGGGGCAGCATTGATCCACAACACAGATTAGCACGACAAACAGGGGTGTCATTGTATGAGCCTTCCCAAGCATGTGATGTAGGTGTGTGGTGAGTGCACTGGATGTGGTCCCAATATTGAAAGGCTGGCCGATAGCCACAAAATAGTGGGATCTAAAGTTGCATGCTACCGGCTACTTCCTCCCACTAATGCTGTCAATGAACAACTCTTGCAATGATTAGCCCGCTTAGGGCATCTTATAGGGCCCAAATCACCTAACCAAACACGTCAATCGGGGCCTGCTGTGCCAATAGAAGAGAGCAGCTGCCCAGGTTGGCACCTCTCAGAGATGGTCATCACGTGGATGAAACTGTTTGGTGTTTTTCGTGACCAGCACCGAGCACCTCGCTTGCTCCAGCTATCCCCCCGCCTACATCCAGGAAGCCTCCCACTCCGAGCTCCGCCACCCCCAGTCGCTGGGCGATGGCCGAGCAGTCCGCGAACTCTCCGTGGCTGCGCCACCTGGGACGTTCGCCGGATGGAGGTGCCCCAAGCTCATGCCGAAGGACAGGGATATTCTGCTTCGGAAGACGCCCCCCGAACGAATCATGGAAGTGGTTTTCCCCACCCCCTGGGAGTCAAAGACTACTATAAATGAACGGTCTTTTTTAGGGTACCTGAAAGTAGGGCACGTCCTTTGCTTGACTGAGGGCCAAGGAAGTGGTCTTTTTCGACTTCGACTGGGCACCTGACTGGGCACCTGATAGGTATCTTCAGAAAAATGGTCATCCAAAGGGCCATGAATGTTCCTCCGGTGTCCCCCGCCTCTCGGCGACCAGGTCGCCGCGGTGCCGACTGACGCAGAGCCACACCTGGGGCGACCGGTCGTACTCCGCGCGGTGGACAGACAAGAGGCCGTTGGAGGGAGAGTATTCTGCCGATCCGTGACCGAGCCGATCCGCTGGGGCCCAAGACTCAGAAGCTGAGTCACTGACTCAGGTGATTCATGTGTCCAAGACCGGATCTGATCCCACTCAGCCGCCGGGCTGCCGCGCCACTTTCGCGGTCTTCTTCGGCCGAGGAGGGGCGCGCGGAACGGCTGCGCAGCAGGTAGCCACCGGCGCTGGCGCAGCAGGCGTCACGGAAGTGGATCTGCACAGGTGAAGGAACTTATGAAACGACCCACCGCATCCCTTTCTTCACGACCCACCACATCTTGGGCTTTCGAAGGTTTTGGACGTTTTGGAGTTCTTTTTCTCAGGTAGACAGACGGTAGATGCTATGTTAATAGGGGAAAGTAGCCGCTGCCACACGCACGCAGGGCACATAGGACATAGGACATCATAGCATATTGTCCTATGTAGCCCAACCCCACCCTGCGCCCGTTCGATCACGGCTTCGTGATAATGCCATGCCGCGACGACGTCGCGCAACTGACTGATCCAAGAATGGGTGATGTACAGACTCCCCTGATTGGAAGCATCCGCTTGCTTGACACGTGCTGAACAACACGAGGCTTGGCTTCGTCTGATCGGCCTCCTGCAGCCGATGCAGCACGGCCAGGAGGGGCCAACCTCGGGAAGCCGAAGGGAAGCAGGTGCAGAGGCTCCTGAGGTTTGGGATTGCAGATGGGATGCTCCCCAAGTCAGGGTGCTCAGGGTCTTTAGGGTGGGAGCTCCTGTCCACGACGACCTTCAGGCTCGGTCTTCGGACCCTGGAAGAGGTGTGCGAGACCGGTCTCTATATCCCCGGTCTGCGGCGTCTGGGGCAAAGTCGGTGTCCAGTGTGTTTGTGTAAGAAGGAGGCTAGTTTGGCTGGCATGGGAGTTGGAGGACCTTGCCTCCCCAGTGCATGGAGTTGGGCCTGACCCAGAACGAAAACACATGGTTTAAAATTCCCTTTCTCCCCTGCATGCCAAAATCAGTTTTATGCAGTTACAAATAATAAATACATAGTAATTTGGCTATAGGGTGCTACAAGTGGCTTCTAGCAATTAGACGGGTGATGTGATGCTCATCAATGCCAGCTTCAAACCCTCTACAGCTGCAGCACTGTCTTTTTGGCCAAAAATCGGGCAGGGGCGAGGCGAACGGCTCTCCCCAACAGCCAGGGCGCCGCTGAAGACCAAGCGATTCCAACTCGTGCTCAGCAAGCTGTGATCCAAAAAGGTCAGCAAACCTCAGAACGAGCGCGAACTGCTTCGTGAACGAGCACTTCTTCCACAGCTCAGTCGTTGCTTCCATGATCTTTCTTCGGGGCCCAGATGTCCATCCAAACCGCCGGGCCCGCCGGGACAAAGGAAACCTCCACTTTCACGGTCGTGCTGCGTTTGTTTCACGAACAACCCAATGATCTATCTCCAACATCCGACCTATCTCCTTCTCGTAACTCATCACTGCAGATGAGTGGCGTGTGAAATCCTTCCTCCACTCGCTCGCATTCCCTTCATCCAAAGAGATCTGCCTCACTTCGCCCGAAGAATCAGCTCGTCTACGGGTCACACGGTGCGCTTCAGCGAAAAGTTTCACATCCCGCCCACGGCTGGACTTGGTTGCTGAATTCATGTCTTTGTTGGCCAGCTAAGTCTGGGTAGGTCCTCCCCTAGCAACATGCACAGGCTCACCTGCGGATGCAGAAAAATTAAGCCTATAAAAATTAATCGCGTCCCACAGGCAGCGGGACTACCAGGGAACCCCGCCATGGCTTCGCCGGCAGCGCACCCCTGGCCACCAGCCGTGCCAGCGCTTGGTGTTGCCCGTCGCAGGCCCGACCCGCGCCGGCGACGGTCGCCCAGGCGGCGAGACCTCAGTGGAAACCGAAGAGGGTGAAGCGAAAAGATCGAGAAGCAAATCGGAATCATGGCGCTTTAGCATGTGCAATCGGACATGCTACCCTAGCTAAGGCTTGGTGGTCATGTTCTGCCTCAATGTCACACCTCTCGACGTTTTTCCTCTTGAGAGAGCTGATCTTCACAAATGAACAGAATGGACTGCAACACGATAGCAAGTCTATCAGTCCTCACGACCCCTGGTATCACCCCATATTTTCCATCTTTTCTGCTCGCGGGGAGCCCAATCGGGCGCTGCATGTGCCGCGCGCCCAAGCTAACAAGGGGCATCCTCTTGGAGGCCCTTCCACCGATGCAAAAAGGAGCTCTTCAGAACCATTTATCGTTGATCTCTCCTTCCAAAAGAACCGCTTCCAGCGCGCCAGAGCGGGGTCTCGCAGGCCCCACGCAAGGACCCACAAGGACCGCGCTCCGAGCGCCTTCGGATTCACCGAAAAGCCCCAACTCAGCGACTCGATTCGCTCGATTCACAGCTTGATTCCAACGCGCGGAGCTTCGGGCCAGGCCACCGGTTGGGAACAGTCGATCTATGCTAAAACGGTGGCGTTCAAAGTCAAATGGCACAAGCGCAACTCTAGGCTTTTGAATGCGAGGACTCATCTTCAGTGGTCCAGCGCTTTGGGGCCATATACTCTCAACATCTCTCAACCTACTGCACTTATATAGCTGCTAGAGATTGCTAAAGCGTCTTGGCGTTCTCTGTTTTTGTGACCATTTCGCACGAAAAGAACAAAGAAGAAGAACCTGCCTGTACAAGGATTCTTGGCCCTTGACACCCCAAGTTCCTGGCAGGTCTGATCCACAAAGCCGTGCCCCATTCCGCTCTACGCGTCCAGATGTCGCCAGCTAGGGCGCTACTCGCCGCGCGCTCAGAAGAGGTCCTTCGACTTCCTCGGATCAGCCAACCCACCGGACGGCGCCATTGACCCTGCTAATCCAAAAGGGCCCAACGGGAAGACACATAGTAGGATGAAAAACACGCGGTGGGACGGGATGTATTAGGTGTCTCTTTTTAAAAAAATGATTTTTTCAAATTCTCCAATCATGTTTTAAGTTGTTGATTTAAAACAGTTGCCAAAGGCTTGCCCATTCTTCACATGCCAAAAGTTTGTTGAAGTTGTTTTCCAGCAGACGGTGCACCCAAAAGAATCCCTTGGTGACCCTTGTGGCCCAGAAGGAGTCGGTGACCACAAAACTGACTCGAGGGACAGGGACAGGGATCCGGCTATAAGCCCAACTTGCTAAATTGCTCGCGTGGCCAAACAAGCCGGAACAAGCAAGCCTGAAAGCCCTGAAAGCCCTCCGTCTGAGTCAATAAGGTCCCTACATCTGCCGAAGAAGTGCAGCACGCCTCCATCATCCCCAGACTACAGCAGGTCTGCCGGAAACAAGCCACACACAAGCCACACGCTCTGGCCCCTCGACCCAGCTGGCTCCCAACCCCAACGAGCCAACACCTGCTCGGTCCCGCAAACAACGGAACATCTTGGACATCTTGGAGCTCCCCCCTGTGGTCGACCTCCAAAAAACCATCCTCCCTGAAACACTCTCCGTATCTCTCCGTAAAGTCAAAACAGAGCCCGGGCGCTTGGCATTCTGCTGCTTCCACTTGGGCTGCTTTTGGAACTCCGCCATGGGCATCCCGAAGACCGCCGCGAAGTCGGCCTCCGACAGGTACATCTCCCGCCGCGCGGGGTCCACGTCGGGCGGGCGGCCTGGAAGGCGGCCGGAGCACCGCGAACGTCAACAACGGCAAGTGGAGGCAAGTGGCAGGTGGGGATTGGATTCTCCAAATGTCTCAAACCAAACAGTTACAAATGAGTCCACACTCTTGCGAATCTACTGGGCATCTGTCGGTGTTGAAATGCGCCTTGGCTCGCTTTCAGCTCTTGATGGGAGTACTTCTTGACGCTGGGATCCGCATAGCGGGCTTCGTCCTGCTTCTCCTCTTTCCGGGTGAGGTTGTCCGTGTCCCCGGTCCGGTGGCCTGGGAGCCGGTCCGACACGCCGGGCGCGGTTCCTCTGGAGACCCGAGGTGCAGTGCACCGGGGACAACAGCGGTGAGCCCATCTGCTAAACCGCCGGATCTGCTGGGCCAGGCCGAACACTGATTCAAGAAGCAAAGAAGCAGTGGCGCTGTGGGTTAGTTCATTCCCTCATTCTCATTCAGCACCAGGCACGGTGCGTCAGACTTGTGACCCGGCCTATGTAGGAGGTGTCCACCTTCCACTTTCCATCGTCCTTCTTCACCGTCGCAGAATGTCCCATATCTGGCCCGCCCAAGACCACCGAGCGCCGCCCCTCAAGGCGGTCCACCTGGCGGACGCTTCGTGGAAGCGGCATTGGAGTGAAGGAGCCCTACAGGTCGCAGACCGCATTTGACTGGGTCTGGTCATGCAAAAACAGTACTCAATGAGGTCAAGGACCAGGTTTAACTTGGTCCTTGTGGGGTACTTGAAGAAATGCCAGGGCCTGAAAGGGAGAAATGCACGGCACCCGGCAGCACACTTCAGGAGGAGATTGTCTTTGAGTCTTTAACGGTTGTGTATTGTATGCATTCCTTTCGTGTTTAAGGTGCAGTAGGGAACGTCATCCATAGATACGTCCTGACACGTCCTGACAATCATACATCTTTATCCTGCCCAAAGGGCGTGCGGAAGGAGAACACCTGGGTGTCTTAGAGTCTCCACTTTCCTGAGCGCCTCCGGTCCTCGCGACACGACTATCTCCGAGCCTCGCCGGTCCGATGGTTGATGTAGGAGGTGTCCACCTGTAGAGGGATGTGTCGCTTGTCTCAGGTCGAAACCCACAGCTTGTTCAATGACCTTTCCTTGGGAGTCCCCGAGTGATCAAGGTCTGAGGCCAATCTGCGACATTGAGCGATGGTATCAAGAGTGGATTGGTGATGGGTAAGTGGAAGTGTGCAAGTGTAAACTTGTGATAACTTGTGTAAACCATCCATGGCTTGCAGACGCATACAGAATGTTTACACTGACAGGCTAACTGCACAAAACGCCATGTGTTCTATGGGCCAATTCAAGCTACTTCAGGATGATTGTTCGTAATGTGTTAGCTACACCCTGACAAGTCCAAGACTAAAAAATACGACCTGTCTGAAAGGCGTACCTGGTGTAGGGGAAAAGAACGGTACTTTCAATGAGTCAAAAGGTACAAATATCGTCTTTCGACTGTGTCGGACATCATGGACCTTCCATTCCTGCGGCTAACGAGGGCCACTACCCCCGCGGCTTCAGCCATGGTCACGATGCACGGTTCAACCGCAAAGAAAAGGGCTAATGACCACTATATCCGATTCATACCGATTCCTTCAAAATATCCAGCAAAACCCTCATTCAGACCCTGCTTCATACCCTCCTGAACCCTCTATTCGTCGCAGGCAGGTGAGGTCCAGGCTCGCCTTGAATTTGCCATCATCATCTTTGCTGCTTTGTCCCACCACAACCCCCGCATTCGGCGCTGCGGTTGCCATCGCTCCATCCAGCACCGACCGCCGTGGTTCCAATCGATTGGGGTCGTTGGTGCGGTGGTCGATGTAGCCGGTGTCCACCTTCCATTTACCATCCTCGGTCTTCTTCACCTGAGAAGGACGGTGCAAATGGATTGAATATGGGCAAACCCTTGATGCGAGCACCTGGGACTAGCGATATATATATATATATAATTATTTGTTATATGCCAATTTCATGATGATTGACACAGTTGCCAGACTTTTCGAGCACCTAGCTTTCAAAATGGACTCATTCCGAAGCAAGTTGCTGTTGCCGAGGATGTGGACGAGAGCACCTCTCCGGTGCTTTGCTCCGTCGCGGCCGGTGCCGCGGCCGGTGCCGCGGCCGGTGCCGGCTCTGCAGGTGCTTCTGCAACCGCAGCCGGCTCAGGCACTGCCTCCGCCTCTGGCGCAGGCTCTGCCACCGGCGCGGGTATCGCCTCGATCGGCTCAGACGCCGGAGGCGGCGCTTCTTCCTCGAGCTGCGACTTCTCGTCCTGTGGCTCCTCAGCCAAGGTGACCGCAGATGCCTCAGCAGCCTCTGGTGCCGCCTCCGTCTCCGGGGGCTCCGATGAACATAAGACGATGAGAGTCTCTTCTTCACCGGGCGAGCCCTCCAAGGTCAGAAGGCCTTGCTCCTGGGCCGCCTGGGTCGCACCACGGACAGTCGCACGGTGTCGGACACCAACGGACACCAACGTATATATAAAGGAAGAAAGCCCTCCCTCCGCCGAGAGGCTGCTAGAGTTTCGTTGATCTCACCAAAGGATTGTTGCGCCATCTCATCCCGCATAAGCTCGCCCCATGTGATACGGTCCTGGAACTGAAGACGTTCTGGCAAGGTCTGGAACGGGCTTTGGCTTTGACGCTTAGGCTTGAGTCACTTGAGGTTTGGACTTCCAACGAGGACGACTGCTACCACAACAACTACTACTGCTACTACCACCACCACCACAACTACTACTACTCCTCCTACTACGACGACGACTACTACGACGACTACTACTACTACTACTGCTGCTAGTGCTACTGCTACTGCTATTTCTACTTCTACTACTGACCTTTGCCTCACCCAACTGGTCCACTCCACCCACTCCCCATTCCACCCCCACCACCGGGTCCGTACCGCTCACGCGGCGAATCGCCTCGCAGATCTGCAGCGGCGCCTCCATGGCGTCGAGACCCGGCGCCGTGTCTCGAGCCACGGCAGAAGCTGCAGACGGACACCGTTGCACAGGGGGAGAAGTTCCAAGGAACTCACCGACATCAGTCGTCTCCTCTTTTCTCCGGTTTGGGCAGGACATGTTGGGAGATGCAATGCACCCAACACCGGTGCATCGGCCCGAGTGCCCGGCGCGCTTTCGATGGCAGCATGCCCACCTCACTGGTCGACTGGGGATCGTCCACCCAGGAAGGTGCAAAGAGTTCATTCAGGGGTCTTCACACGGCATGTCTGTGCATTTGTCACGGTTTCTAGGATGACAGGCATCAAAAAAGGGGTGCTGAATGGGGACTTCTGGGGTCCTATCTTCTGCAGTGAGGGGGACCACCTTAATATATTTCCATGATTATATAATAGCACCACTCAAACACCAGGTGTTTGCAGGGTTGGGAGGTGTTTCCACCTCGATATAATGGGTAAATGTGGATCAATCATTTGGCCCTGCGTCACGTCAACCACGGACGGATCGATGGCGTTTGGGTCGTTCAACAGCTTGGAGAAGCCCAGCTGGGTCGACCGAGGTCTTCAACGCCCATGGACCCACTGCGCCGCCTCTAGCCAAGTTGAAATGTGCTGGAACAGCTCCTGGCCATCTTCGCAAATGCCTCAGGATGTGCCAGCAAATGACCAGTGTGATTCACCAAGTTCTGCCCACACACCGCCCAAGCTGCATAGCTA